ACTTGACGTGTTTCAAACTTGGCATAGGCATTAGGCATGCCCCCGAGCCTTCTCGTTAAACTCAAGAGCCAGAACGACAATCGGTTTAAACCCACGTCCCGTGGCACTGGCTTCGATACCTGTCGATGACATCAACACGCGGCAAGTATTTCAGCATCGACTACGCCATGCAGGTCGAACAGTTGTTTGGGAATTGAGACTTGAACAAGTTCACTCGCACGAACTGTGTCGCGCGATGCAATGGGCAGATGATGTGGGCGTGGTCATGTACCCAGGCGACTGCGCCAAGCAGCTGCCCAATTGCTCGTCCTGACCTTGTCGTGGCCTCCCCAGATGCGAGGGCAAGCGAAGCGTCGGCGGCATGTTTATTAGCCTTCGAACAGCCCCAGCGCATTCAGTACTCGCGCAGCCCTGGATTATGGTGTAGTCTCGTTGCGGCGCATCCAGGATGCGACCATCATGCGCGCGGGGCGTCTACATTTCCTTGCCCATGAGATGTTGCAGACCCCCGCGGAGATATCCCATCGGTCAATGACTTTTGATGGGGCGGTGGGCCCGCGCGGCGCCTTCGCGCATGGGGGGCTCGCCGGCGGAGAAGAAGACGAGGCCAAAGGATGCAGCCCTAGAGGTCGTGCCTTGCTGAACCATGGAACCACGAGCAGTTGGGGCAATGCTTTGCGCGGCCTTGCCAACCTTTTTGGTGTCGTCGTCGCGTCCGGTCAAGCTACGCCGCGGAGGCTCTGGCCGCTTGTCGCGGCCTCGATGAGCGCCGCCCCTCGTCGGTCGCCGTGCGCGAGCTTATCAAGCGATTTCTTTAGTCTGTCAGAACACAGAAGGCTTCGGGAATATGAAGGGCTCGGTATACACGCGCCCCCTAACATTGATGCCGAGTCGGTCTAGAAGTCTCTCCCCAGCAATGATTTTCGCGCACTCAGTGAGCAGACTGTGTCGGGGCGCATCAACCGGGTGCGAGATTCCTCGACCTCGGCATTCTGCGCACTGCCCAGTGAGGCGAAGCCCGCGACGCGACGGCCGACGGCCACGCTGAGGGCGCCAACGATCGAGACCTATTGTTTCAAGGAGCGATTTGCGTTCAGAGCCACAAGCATGAGGTGAAGGCGGCAGCGAAGCTCCCGTCGCCACTGCTTGAACCGCTGCGGTGCTCACGTGCTTGCGTGGGCCCTCGAGGCCATGTGGTTCCCGCGCGTGCTGCCATGCTGTATACTTGTGTGTAATGTATGTATGTATGTATGTATGTATGTATGTATGTATGTATATATATATGTATTCATCGACAGAGAGCTTGGCATCGCTCGGACGTGTGCATGTTTTCCTTCGGCGAGGACCATCGAGGAGCATCCGTGATCATTTGGCGAAACAACCACGCACGAAACCGGAAAAAACACCGGAAAAGGGACGTCCGAGCGATGGCCAGAGAGGGGGGGGCCTGTTGCTGGCCTCGCTCTGAGCTGCCCTGGATTTGCGACCGCTCCTCGTTGGCGCGACTCGCGGACACGCGACTGCGCTTTTCCAGCCTTTGCTCTGCCAGTCAGGGATCAAACATTGGCGGTGATTTCCTTGGTTTTCAGGGCCGCCCGGGGCCTGTCCTGCGTGGGGTTTTTCGGTCTCAGTTTTCTTTCGCCGAGCGCCGCGGGTGGCTGAGTCGTCGGAACCCCGGGGACACTGCACCCGCGAGTAGAGCTTTCTGCGTTTCTTTTGCCCCTTTTGCGCCGGCCCAGCGGTCAGCGTTCCCCGCCGCCGCTTTGTCGGGGCATGATCAAGCGCTCGAGCAATGCGGCGGCGGGGAAGCGCCCACCCACCCCTCCCTCCGCGAGTTCCCCCCTCTCCGCGACTTCGAGGGGGCGCCCCGGGGTAGGCGTTCTAGCTCGTGCTGTGTTCGCCCCGCGGCCGCCTTGGTTCGCGGTGGCGCCGCTCTATCTGCGGGCCCCCCAGCGGCGCGCAATGTGCGGCGGTGCGGGGGGAGAAGAAGTCTTGCTCCTGCCCAGTTCGATGTCGCTCCCCGCCTTGCTCCCCGCTTTCACTTGTCGAGTCGCTCGTTGTCTTTGTGGGCCATTTTGGGACCGCCGTCTTTTGGTTTTTCCGGGGGCCTCTGAGGCCGTCTTGAGGCCGTCTTGGGGCCGCCCTGGAGGCTGGGCCGTCGTGGGCACCCGGGGGTTGAAAAATGCGAGCGCGCAAAAATCGTGCAAAACTCATCAGGCAATCGATGTGGTTGGCCGCTGGAGGTGCTCCTGGGGGCCCCTCGGGAGCAGTTTTGGATCCGCAGTGGGAGCCGGGCCTGTTGGGCCCTTTTGTCAGGAGCAACATAACGACGTGCGCGCCCATGAATCCACGTTCGTTTCGAGAGTACGCGATGCGCGAACGTTCGTTCGTGTGCATGGTTGGGTGCGTGCATCCTTTGTGGGCTCCCTATCATGGGCCCCTTGGGCCCCTTGGGCCGGCCGAGCGCCCCGAGGGCCCTCCTGGACCCCCGGCGAGCCCGGAGGCCGGGCGTTTTTGCCGGGCGCAAGAAACAGGCGGGCGCGCGGATGCGGCGCTACTGCGGGGGAGGTGATTCGAGGCGGGCGGGTGCGTAGAATCATAAGATAATAGTACACCAGAGAAAAAAACCCAATCAGTGGATGGTTTTCGCCGAGGAGATCGACCAGAATCCAGGGGCCCGGGAACCCAGAACCCACCGAAATCGGCCCGGAACCAATGGCCGGGAACCCAGAACCGGGAACCCGGGAACCCAGCCTGCTACCAAATTCCGCGGGAAATGTTCGCCAAATCTTTGAACTTCCGCTAGGACCCCGTCAGTGCAAGCACTGATTGGGGAACCGTGTGTCGCAATTGTATAATGATGGGACACAGTGGGCACGTTGCATTTGCAGGAATCGCTGCCGCTCAGCACGGTTATAGGCGTGCGCTCCGTCCGCCGACCCCTGCGTTCATTGTCGGCCGTCTTCGGCTGCCAATCTGCGCCGCGGGGTTGCGGGGGTTTGATGGGTTCGCAAGGTGTTCCGTTTGTTCCGCGTGGAGTTTTCTGCGACGGAGCCCCTCACGATTTCCCCGCCGGCTTTTCGCTTCAAGGTTCTCGCGTTCCATGGGGGGGACAGGCGTTCGGCAGTGTCGGGATTAATTGTTGTGCGTTCCCTGCTTTTGGCGCTGTTTCCACTGGGTCTTGGGGGCTCTGTCGGCTGCCGTGGGCTCCGTGGCACTTGTCCCCCTTGCGAGCTGTCGTGGGCCCCTCTTGGGGCGGCCCGGGGGTTCCCTCGGCTGTCTTGGTGTCATCTTGGGTGGCCAGGGTCGGAGCTTTCTCCTCGACCGACGTCAAACTGGCCGCGCGCGTTCGTCGCCGCGCCCAGGGCGGATGCGGCAGCCAGCATGCTCGCCGAGGCAGACGGATGCGCCGTGGCTGCGGACGCGCGGCTCAGCGCAATGCGGCAGCACGCGTTGCAAGGAGCACGCTGGTGCATTTGCCAGGAACAGCGGGATGGGGCGTGTTTGGCAACGGGAAGGAAGCCAGTCGCGACCTTGCTAGAATGTATGCGTTTCTGGGGAAGAGATTTGCATACGTCGTCGCAACTTACGCAACACAGGACACCCGATATCATGTCGGGAACAGCCGCGCAGTGGCGAGCGAACGCGGGTTGCAGCTGCTGTGGGTCACTACAACAGATCGCGCGCGCCACAGGAAGGAACGAACGCGGCCGCGCGCGATGGGGGACAATATACAGTGGCAGGGGTGTGCTGGGGTGCCTTCTGCCGGCGAAGGGCATGCCCGTAGCTTTAGGCGCCGCCTGGATATGTCGAGCAAACATCTCGCGGGGAGTTGCAGCGACAATTCACGGGTGGATGTTGCGCGAGGATGAGGTCGTTGAAGATGACGAGGAGGTAGTTTCGTTGCGCTTGCCTAGAGTCATCGCCATGGATTCCCATGCGGCGCGTGGGCTCTGCCAGGCATGTTGCCTGGGTTGCGCTCCCTATTTCCGCCGCAAGGGCGCCAGTGGTTTACGGGCGGGTATCGGAGACAGTTCCTGGCCATGGGCGCGAAACGGGTATAGTTTTTGACCGCGCCAGCGGGGGCAGTGACGGCGTGCGCCACGCAAGGACGGACGATGAACAGAGTGATGTCGGACGTGGAGAGAGGGCGCGTTGCGTGGCCATTACGCGTGTGCGACGACGGGACGGCCTCATGGGTAGGACGCCGCGCAACGAAGGCTACATGGTTGGTGCGAAACAAAAGCGTCTGGACATTTCCCTGGGAAAAGGCGAAGTTGATGCCGCGAGACGAGCGCGGGGGGTGCTATCGGAGGCCGTTGGAGGAAACGTACACGGATTTGTTGACGCTCCACGTATCCACACTAACCCATCCCAAAGTAGGCATCAGGCAAGCTGCCTTGACTAGGGATGTGTGTAAGCATGCCGCTCGGAATTGCGGCACGTCCGCATTCGCACCACTTTGAAACATCGGAGGAGGATGCTCCTCGTGGCTGTCCTGGTTGAGCGGTTACCAGTCGTCATTTGCGGCGCATGTAATGTTAAGCCGGGCATGTCCCTGTACAGGAGGAATATCCAACTAGATTGAAACATAGTCTGGGGACGATGTTCGTTTTTTGTATGTTTACAGGTGTTGTTGGGGTATTTCTATTTTTGGTCCAAAGCCCGCCTGTAGTGGAACACAGCCGACCTAAATGTAATGTGTCGTCGTGCGTCCCTGGAGTCGCCTAGGTTGAGTGGTTGCCTGTCGTTGCTCGCCGTGCGTGCATTGATTTTGGCGCGTGTGGATCAGCGGCGACGACGACGCCGATTGCGATGCTTCCTGATTTCGATACGGTCGATTTCCGATTTGGGCTCCCGTTTCCCAACGGAGGCCTGCTACCCTGCCGATTTCCGCCGGTTCGACTTCTCCCGACTCGGCTGCCGATGTCCGCCGGTTCGATTCTGGGCTCTCCTGCCGCTTGCTCCCATACCCCAGTGACGGTCGTCCGTCCGTCCAGGGCCTCGCCATTGTCTTTGTGTCGTCCGACCACACGGAGGAGGAGCCTTTGTGGCGCAAGCTCTCCGCTTGCAGCGATGTTGGCCTTGGCATGGGGGTTGGAGGAGGGAGGGGTGGGTGGAGAGAGGCGCAGGCGAAGGCCGAGGACGTAGAGGAGGCTTCGGATGCAACTCCTGGGATGTCAAATTCTGATTTTGCCCTGGTCCGAAATCTGGCTTAATCCCGCTTAATCCCGCTTAATCTGGCTGAATCCCACTTAATCTTGCTTAATCTGGCTTAATCCGAGGCCCGCTCCGGCGTAACAGCCCTCCAATGGGGCTTAATCCTCTTTTAATCCTTCCGACGAGAACCTCCCAGTAGTTGCCTCCTAACGAGGCAGAGGAGGCAGACGAGAAGCAAAAGGGGCAGAGGAGGCTGAGGAGGAGTGGGGATGCAGAAGAATGTCATAGTGGAGGGAGCCACGGTGGTGAAGTGAGGGAAGGTTGGAAGAGGAGAGTGGGGGCGGGGGGCGGACGGCGGAGGAGGGGGGGGGATGAGGAGAAGAGAACGGGAAATATGAGATACGAGGAAGGGGAGGATGATGACGACGACGGCGAGGGAGATGCTGTTGATGATGATGTGGACTAGTAACAGAGGGCAGGAGGAGAAGGTCGAGGCTCCAAAGTTGGCGTTGTCGTTTGGCTCTTTGGCTCAAACATTTTTGGCTCGAGCAATGAATTTCCCAAGGTGACCGGCCAGTTCAGCCTTGTCCCGATCCCTGGGCGCTTTGAATGGGACCCTCAAGTCCTCTACCCTGGTCACGTTCCGTGTCATTGCTGGCCTCTTTTTGTTTAGTTGGCAGGCTACATCACACGGTAGAGGCGTGGCATAGGGAAACAATGCGATAAGCAGGTGCTAGACAGATATTGGCAGGGTTGGTGTTGGCAGCGATGGCAGTTCCAGGCTTCGGACACAAGGCCAGGCCTCCGTGCAGAACCGAGAACAGACGCCCATCCTAGACGGCATCGTAGCGCTGCCTAGTGCGTCATCAGCTGCAGGGGATGCCATCACGGATAGGCATATCCAGCAGGTGCTGATCGACATTGCCCCAACATCCTCGGCCGCAGTGGCTACGCCGTCGCAGTGAGCAACAAGAGCTTGCCATCATAATCGACAGTATAGAGGACTAGACCACCCAGCTAGAAGACCGCAGGACGCACTGCCAAGTCCATGTCGGGCACCTCAAGGACGGATTCGACGAGATGCAACAAGAGCAGGAGACAGCAGGAGACAGCGGAGGGAGTCGAGTTCGAGCAATCGCCGCAGCCGCTCATGAGTCCTGCAGCCATGCTCGTGCCAATGTCCCACGCGGCAATGTTCAGCAGCTGGCGCCCCAACGATTCCTACGCCGTATACCTGGCCCACTTGACGCACCGGCAGCGCCAGGTGCGGCATCGCGCACAGTTATGGGCCCAACGCTGCCGACGGTGGCACTTGCGGCGCCCGCCCCCGGGCTATGAGACATCCCAGCTGCCATGGGACATCCTACGGCTTCCGAGTATTCCGAAATATATTTCGTTCTCATGCCGACTTCTTGAGGTGGAATTTTTGAGGCGTCAGTGTGGAGTGGGTGCCATCCCCGCCCACCACTGTATGTGCGCGGCCCCTTCGGTCAAGCACAGATGTACGTCGGTGGAATCAAGGGGCATGCCTCGGTGCAGAGGGCGGGTGATGAGTCCACATGGCGTCGGCCGCTGTATTGGTCATCGCGTGATGCAGCTTCGCTTGCCCACTACCCACCAAACCATCCCAACCCGTCCCGGAGGCCCTGAACTGCCCTCCATTCCCAGGAGAGTGTTTTTACCCTCTGGGTCGTAACGCGCGTTATGCCCCCTCCCCTCCTCCCCCATAACGTAACGCTCCCCCCCTCAGTGCGTCCCCGGCACTGCCGCAGTGCGTCCGACACCACAGTTTGGGGGGGGGGCCGCTACGTTCTGCCCCCTCCCGTTCCCCCCCCCTCCCCCCCCCATAACCCCCGTTGTGGCCGCGAATCCACAACATACAACTGGCGGTATTACGGTCGAAAAAGTCCCCGAAGACGGTTGGGTTGCGGCGGATACGCTCGGATTGCCCTCCATTCCCAGCGGGGGGCATCCCGGAACATTGACACCATAGACGGAATCCGTGCGACCCCCAACCCGAAATTCGGCATTTCGGGTTCGGTTGGGGTGGTCTCGCAGGTAGTTATTTGTCTGCTTTGCGGAGGGCAACGCGCGCAAGGCCAGTGGGGCAGGTCCGAGAAGATTTGCAGCTCCGACGCCGTAGAAATAAGGCGCCGACGCCGTGGGGCCGAGCCTGGAGAAACGGGGCTGTACCTGAGACAGTACGGGGACACATCGAGAGAAGAAGAACGGGGACCATGGCCAAGATGTCAAGGGATCTTGTCGATGCCGATCTTGGTCATGATTCATGATCTGTGTCGGTCGTTGCCGACTCGCGAGGATGATCCACGAGATGACGCTGACCAGGATCGACGGTGACCCAGATTGACACGACGTGTCCGCGTTGAGTCTGGGCCATGGCCCCCGCTGTTTCTTCTCCAACCCAGCCAGCAGGGTCGCCAATCAGAGCGAGCCAGGGCCGGGGGTCGAGGCGGGGGCCAGGACTACCTCGCAACAACAGGGGAGGCCTCGTGACCCCACTGGCGATCAGCGGTCAGTTGCTCCGAAGAGGGTTCTCTCCATAGCAGGAGTTCTGCGAGGACCTGTGGGTCTGTGCCGATCACCCTGAACACTGAGTTCACACGCAGCTCCAGCAGGGTCGGGCCATGTTGAGGAACACGAGAAGGAGGGGGGTGGACAGGGGGAGGATGTGTTCTGGGACCGCGACGGGATGCAGGACGCTCGTGGCAAGACTGCAGGAATGCGCATGCCTCGATCTCAGGCGCGGGATTGGCCTGCCGTGGTCTGTACGTATCTGTATTGGGTAATTATACCCCGCGCTGCGAGTTGTTTCGCAACGTGGCCCCCCCCCGAGGTCTCGATCCCATCCCCAGGACCACGTTTTCATCCCGAGAAGTGTTCTTGACGCCTTCGGGGCCTGGTGAGGCCTCCCTGGAAGCAAAAGGTCTCCGAGGGCATTCTGTCGTAATCCATTCACAATTCGAGGGGGTCTGGGCACGTAGTTGGATCCGGTCTGGAACGCTCGCTTAGCGTGTCGCGCTGCGGGTTCTGGCCCACCATGCTTCGGCGCGACGCGCTAAGCACGTCCCAGTCCCCAAGTAGCAGCGTTCTGACTGTTTCCCAGCCCCCCGTCTTGCGAAAGCAGAGCGACGCGCTGTCAGCTTGCAGGCGGCACGTCAAGCAGAAGTTTCTTTCTGACCGTAAATCCTCGGCCGAACGCCTGATGCTCACTTTGCCAAACTTCGGGAACCGGTGCACTGCCTGCAGTGTTGTGCCACGGTGTGGCGGAAGTGCGGACAAGCAGGGGCGAGACTCAGAAAGGGAGGGGGAGACAGAGGAGGGAGGGAGATCAACGGATAAGGACCATGTGTTGATGCGCAGGCGTTGTTGCCGTGGAAAACAGGTTCTTCACCGTACAGTCAACACGCATAGCAAGGAAGGGTAACCTTCCCAAGGGTACCCTTGCATCCTTGCCTCCTTGGTCCATCCTTCGCCACTTTCGTCGGCCGCGCCCCGCTCGAAAAGCTTCGAAATGGGCGTCCAAGGCCCTTGCATCCTTATCACGCATCCTTACTTTTCGGGTTGACTGTCGACAGCGTTCCCCCGACCTCTTCTCGGGGGAGGAGGAGGAGGAGGAGGAGGAGGAGGAGGGGGAAGAGGCGAAGGATGATGACGACGATGATGCTGATGATGACGAGGATGATGATGATGCTGCTGATGATGATGATCCTAATGATGATGATGCTGATGCTGATGATGATGCTGATGATGATGCTGATGACGATGACGATGACGATGACGATGATGATGATGATGATGAAGATGATGATGATGATGATGATGATGATGATGATGATGCTGATGCTGATGCTGATGATGATGATGATGATGATGATGATGATGATGATGATGATGATGATGATGAGTAGGGGGAGGAGGAGGAGGAGGAGGAGGAGGAGGAGGAGGAGCCCTCCCCCGAGGAGTTCGACCTCTTCTCGGGGGACATGCCGTGGCTCGCGCTGCCATTCCGGGAGCGCGAGCTCGCGCGCAGCCTCCACAGGCGGTTCGGCGTGGCCGGCCTCCCGAAGCTGGTGACTCAAGAGGCTTGCGCCATGCATGCCGCCAACCCCCAGAAGAGAGAGCTCGCGACGATGGCCGAACCTATCCTGATCTTTGGCATCGTTTAACCAATCCCCATCCCCATCCCTATCCCCACCCCAGTTGGGGATACACCCCCCGAAGCCCGAAGGGACCGGCCTATATCCCCATCTAGGGGGATGAATCGGCCAGTGGGGCCACGGCCACGCCGCTGGGGATGGGGATCGGATAAACGATACTCACTTACGCCGTGCCGCCGACCCCCAGAAGAGAGCGCTCGCGACGATCGCCGAACTCCTTGAGTCGGGCCTGTCCCTCTACAGGGGGGATACCTATACGACCACCCTTCGGGTGATAAGGATGTTCGAGAGGTCGATCGGTCTCACATATATCGATATCACTATCGATTTCACTATCGGTCTCGCTCGATCGATCTCACTCGATCGATCTCACAATCAATCTCACTCGATCTATTTCATTCGGTCGATCTTACAATCGATCTGACTATCGATCTTACAATCGATCTCACTATCGATCTCACTATCGATCTCACAATCTATCTCACATTCGGCCTCACTATCGATCTCACTATCGATATCACAATCGATCTCACAATCAACGTCATCATCGTCAACATCATCGTCATGAACGTCATCAACATCATCATCATCATCATCATCATCATCATCATCATCATCATCATCATCATCATCATCATCAGCAGCAGCAGCAGCATCATCATCGGGACACTATCATCGGGACACTGGTCATGCAGCTGCTCCGGCCCAGAGGGCTGCACGTTGCACTATGTGCATCGCTGGGGGCGTGGACGCCCTGGCGCTCCCGGGTTAACCCTTTGCGGCGCACACGCTGCGGCCACCACTGGCGCTGCTGCGCCCACGGGCGCCGCTGGCGCCGCGCCGGCGGGCGCCGAGCCAGCAGGCGGGCCAGTGCTTCACCTGGCGCAGGCCCTCGAGGCGGCCGCAGCCCCGGCGGCTGCCCCAGGCATGGACGAGGACCCCGTGGACTCGGGCCTCACCCAGGCCGCCGCCGCCTTGCGGTTGGCCGCAGTCCCCACGCCTCCAAGGCTGGCCCAGCCTGCAGCTACGGGAACGCCGTCGGCAACTCCTTTTAACCCTCTTCCCCACATCGACGTGAGTGGCCTGCACGAGTTCCTGGAGGACGAACTCTTGGCCAACTCGGTTGTCACGGCGGCGAGCCTCAGCACCGGGCGCATGTCTCCTGCCCCCGACACCGGCACGAGCATACCCACGACATGGGCAGCCCTGGACGTGTTACTTCGTCGTTTGTCCTTGTGCTGGGATGCTGCGGATGCCTGGGGTGTACTGGGGCTGCTCACAATGGAGGGGCCGGCTCCGACGATCATCGACGTGGACCGGCGCCTCTTCCGGGCCAAAACGCTCCTCGCCATCACCGGCCGGACTGGCTGGACGGAGGGCGACGTGGAGCGAGCCCAGCACGCCGAGGATTGCTTTGTTCGAGCCCACGGGGAATGCTTGCAGCAGCTGCCTGCGTTGCAAGCCCGCCGTCGGCGCGACAAGGGCATCCCCCTAGACAAGTGGAGGGAGCTGGGCAGCGTGGGCCTGGAGTTCATCATCAACACGCCAGCCTCGACATCGGAGGCCATTGCGACGCAGCTCTCCGACATTATGGAGCTCCCGCAGGCGGTTCGTCAACACGGACGTCTTCTTGACCCAGCGGCGGCCCGGGAGTGGCAGACCCGCTTGGACGCAGGTGCCCTCACGCCGGAGAACCTGCAGACGTGGCTCCCGCAGAGGGGGCCTTGTTGCGTGGGCTCCGACCTCCTCTGCGGGACGCTCTGATGAAGGTCCCGGCGGCGGTATTTGCAACTCGTCCTCTACGTCTCTTGGTGCCCATGGATGTGCTGCCGGGCTGCACGACGACCTCGGCAGCTAGAGATATATTCTGGCACCCATTCCTTGGGGATCGCTGGGCACCACTGGTCCGGGAGCAGAGCTTCGTGACGCAGGCGCTGCCGATGATGACCACGAGTAGCGCCAGCCCTCAGCACGTCTCTCGTGGTCTGCTGATCGCCACGGTCTCGACACACACTCAGCACCAACTCCCACGTGTCCTGTCGGTCGCCATGCCGCTGGTGCATGTGCAGGCCGGCCCTGCGATCTACTTGGACTGCCCTCCGGCTCATCTGGCGGTTGTCTTCCAGCGCGTGCTGGCCTTGGGCGACATGCTGAACATCCGAATGGGCCGCAGCACTCGCAGCCCAGGTTCGGTCGCCGACGCTCCACGTACGCGCACGGAGTTCCACATGCCGCCGCACGTTACCGACTTCAGCGTCCAGATGCTCCTCGTCGGCCTTCGGCGCGAGCCTTGGCCAGTGCCGGTGCTCTTCGCCTCCCGCTCTATCTTTGCGGACTCGACAGCGCCACCCACTCCTGGAGCTGACGGACCCGGCGGCCCTCTCCAAGGTCAGCCGCTTCTGCCGGGAGGCGCTATTCCTCGGACCGAAGTTGGCGACACTGCGCACGGACATCGGCCCCGACGATTGGCAGCAGCTCCTCGACGAGATCCGGACGGCTGACCCGGAGGCGGCGGCCACAAGGCTGCGGTGGCGACCATCCCGCCTAGGAGGACGGAAGTTGGCAGAGCCAGCTATTGTTCGAGAGCGGGTCCGCGCAGCCTTGCAGCCAGCCGCTGCGCGGCTGGAGAACCCAGGCGGCGGCCCATGTTCGGCTGAGGTCGCGGCGGAGGGCTCGTTGGGATACGACCCGCAGGCGGCGATCTCTGCCATCATGCGCGTGGTCCGGGAGCAGACTGGGGTCGACCTGACGGCGGCGGCGTCCGCGGCCCAGCTCCTGCCAGGGTCGTGGAGGCGATTGGCGGCGGACGACCCCTCTGCCGATCCTGGGCGGGTCCGCCTGCATTTTCGCACCTCGGCCGAGGGGAACGCAGTGAAGGCGGCGATCCAAGGCAGGGCGGTGCAGGTGGGTGACGACCTCGTGGCCCTGCGGGTCGAGACCATCGCAGGCTCTGCTCGGTCGTCCAATCGGCGGGGGGGAGGCGGCCAGGCCCCAGTGGCGCCTCCCCCCAATGCCCAATGAACCTGCGGACACTGGTGCGAGGAGCTCACCCTCCCTGGCACTTGATACCAATGGGGTGGATGCAAGCCTAATTCAAACGATCGCCTCAGACGGCACTGTGGGGTATCTTGTTGATATTATTCTCTCTCCTCGCCGAGGTCTTCTATCGCGTTTGCTTCACCACGACGCTCCCCTGCCGATGCAGCCCGCCGAGCCTCTTCTCCTACCGCCGCTGTGCAGACAGCGCCAGGACGCAGCAATTCAGCAGTGGGGTCGATGCCCGCCCCTTCCCCCAGCAGCAAGCGCACCGCGCCTCAGCCGGGCTCGTCGGTGCCCGCCGCCGCCTCGGACGGCCGTGCCAGAGCTCGTCAGACCGCCGCCGGCCGCGGCAGATCCGCCACACATTCGCTTCCCCTTTCTAGGGGACCTGCAGGGTGCGAGTTGGAATTCTCAAGCCCTCTTTGCTCGCAAGCGACTCCGACATGATCAAAAATATGCATTCGTCCGCCGACTATTACGGGGTCGCGACTTCGTGGCCATCGTGGATTCGCATGGCCTCGAGGGCACGACCGCGGTGTGAAGCTGCCCCAGCGATTGCGTCGCCTATTTCTCGCCGGGCTCTGCCAGTCGCGCTGGGGTCGGCATTGTGCGAGCTCCGGCAACCCGAGCTCACGCACGAGAGTGCCTCGGCGTGGAGTCGACCCGACAGGTGCTACTGGAATGCCCACGTGGTGGGCCAGCTTGACAGGAATATCACCTGCACGGCGTTGGAGTGGGTTCCCCACTTGTCGGCCCATCGCGCCATCGCATTTGGCCGCCGCACACCGGCTCGACGGGATCCCGCGGCCATGCCGATCCGGCCAGAGACTGTTGCTCACGAGAGTTGGCCGACCCGCGTCGCCGCTGCCCACCAGGAGCTCCGGGAACATTGGTTTCGCCGACAGCTGTGAGAGCCGCCAACGTCGTCGCAGCCCCGCCATGATTCAGCTTACGGGGTGCCGCCGCTTCGTGATCTTATTCTCCTGAAGCAGGCCATGCGGCTCACGGCCGACAGGATGCAGGCAGAGGCCGCTTCGGCGACGCCAACGAGCCGCGCGGAAGACGACGTTGGACACACAGTCCGCTTCATCAGGGCGGCGGAGCGCGGCCTGGTTGGCATCGTGCGGCAATGCTTGCAAGCATTTCCGCGGCTGTCCTCCTCGGCGCCGGCCCCGCTGGAGTCGGCAAACGCTCGCGGGCGACAGCTCCAACCCTACAGACAGTTAGCGGTAGACCTCGCCAGGGAGGCGGCTATCGAGGAGTTGTCGGAATTACAGAGGCGCCGGGGCGACTGGGCGGACAGCGAGATCGACGCCCGTCGCAATCGCATCCACAGCAAGCTCAAGCGACTCGCGCCTGGCCGCTCAGGTTGCCTGACAGGGGTCGAGTCCCCCTCGGGGGAGATCCTGACAGACCCTGGGGAGACGGCCGAAGCGCTCAGGCGTCACTGGCAGGAGGTCTTCTCCCAGCGCCCAGTGGACGAGCAGCTCCTGGAACAGTGGGCGCAGGAGGACACGCCGCCGACGGCGCCTCCTACCGACGCCTCCGACTGGAGACTATGTCGCCGCCGCATGGTTGCTGCCATCGAGGGATCTCCGAATTCCGCGCCTGGCCCAGACGGCCTCTCGTTCGCCGCTTGGAGGCGGCTCGGCGCGTTAGGAGTCGACGTGTTGCGGCGCGCACTCAACGCTCTCACGCAGCAGCCTGAGCTTGAGTACTTCGACGATTTCATCTCCACGTTCAACAGCAGCTTAATGATCTTCCTCCCCAAGGGGGCTGGGACCACCGTGAACGGCGTGACCGGGCACGGGCCGGCAGACGCTCGGCCGCTCAACGTGGCTTGCTGCGACAATCGCCTCCTCGCGAACGCTGTGCG